ATATATATATATCATTCACATATTAATTCATAATTAATTAGATAAAACTGAAATTTTTAATGAGTAATGAGTGTGCACATGCAATAATAGTAGAATATGAATAACATAGTCCCTAGGATAGACCTATAACCAGAATCCCCTAAGATTTGAACAAATATGTCACCAAACAGGACAGACAAAAATAGAAGTTTGACATATATATGAATAATAATTTACAGGCATCATTATGATTAAGATACCTTATGATTGAGTGGTACCCTTCTATATTCTTCCATCTGGTTGCTAAGTAACTATAACTGGCATTATAGTGAAATATTATTTACCGTATTTACGCATGTATAGGCCGCGTGCGTGTATAGGCCGCAGCACAATTTTCAGACAGAAATTATAGAAAAAATAATTTTCTTGGAATATTATTTCAGGAGTAGAAATTATTCCGAAATTTGGCAACGTTTAACATTCCTAAGTTCGCAACTAGCGAAAATAACGGTACCGCTTGGAACAAAGGCATTGTGGGGGAGAGTTATAACCTTTTCGCCTTTACTTGACTTGCCTGGTTAGTTCTGAGCGAAACATGGGTCGAGTAAGAGCAGGTTATACGTCTAAATTTAAACTTCAAGCGGTGCGTTACGCACAAGAACACGGAAATCGAGCAGCAGGGAGAAAATTCGACGTTGACAAAAAAAATGTGCGAAGATGGATACTAACGAATTATGCCCTTGAAAAAACATCACAAAATCGACAATCTTTCCGCGGAAAGAAAGCTAAATTTCCAGAACTTGAAAATAAACTTTTGCGATACGTGCGTAATACACGTAATAATACTAATTATGAATATATATTTTTTTTAAATGAAGTGTGATTTCGAATATTTCAAATATAAACCGCACCTCAGCTTTCCTCTTGAATTTTTGGCAAAAAATGTGTGGCCTATACATGCGTAAATACGGTATATCCATTGTGTTTTATTGCTTTATGATCATCTTCTGATATCTTACCTAAACTAGTTGGCTTGGAAGGATGATTTAAGTGGTATTACATTCCTGAATGAATGCAATGTTACAAACTGTTTCCCACATACTTTCAGTTTGAGAACAACTGCTTGCAGAGAACATTAATGTTAATGCAATTTATCCAAAATAAAATGCCATTCTGACTTGGTATGAATGTTTCACAGACACAATACAAAACAGAAGGCAGGTTAAATTTGATAGTAGGTCTGAAGATTCTTTACATCAACTCTCACTTCTCCAAATAAGAGCAATCTCCCATAAGAAAAAAGCTTCTTTTTTATCATTCTAAATTTTGGTGACCTGAAACTTCTGAGTTCAATTTCATGTATTGATGATATTCAGTCCAGGAACTTGACAGAATGTATCAGATAAGTAAAGAGGATACGACAACATAAAGAAATCTTTGTTTGACTGTCAGTAGCGTGTAAAGATTAACAATGACATAATTTGACTATGGAACTTTAATAATAAAGGTAAAGCTGTTCCTGTGTTTAATTAAGTACCACTCCATGAAGACATGGCAGAGCAGGGGCACACTTCCACGCATTCTTAACCTTTGTATTTTGATTTTATTTGATTTATTATTACCTCAAGCAATCCGTACAGGCTAGACAGTCACCACAGATATAGAAGCAGTCCATTTATATATATACTAAAATAAGATATAAAATGAAAAGTAAAATATAACAAATAGATAAAATATTATGATAAAAGCAGCTGTAACTCACAACTTTGTCAACATACATACAACAAATGAACAATTTTCGAGTCACAACAGTGATGTACAGATACAAAATATGCCCATATGTACATGTTATCACAATTACACCAATATGAATTTCATTCAGAATAAACCTTAACTATAGATTTATAGACAATTCCAGGTATTCATCTATTGAATAGAAAGATTCCCTTAAAAGGAAATTTTTAGTGACTAATCTAAATTTCTTAACATCAGTTGATAATTTTCTTATGTTCCATGGTAAATTATTAAATGTTACAATACCCATATAATACACACCCTTTTTGTACTTAGTCAGCTTTACAGATGGTAAGTGTAAGTTGAAACTCTGTGGTGTATTTATAGTATACATTTCAGTATTAATCACAAATAGGTGCATATTTTTCACTACCAATAGCAATAGAGAGAATACAATGGGGTACCCAAAAGAAACCGAACTAATTTTTTTCTGGGCAGAGCTTTTATAGTACTGCG